GGGGGGGGGGAGCCCCGTGGCGATCCTACGGAGACGTGCCGTGCAGTGTGGTCGGAGGAAGGGGCGGTCGTCCTATTGTATCACGCAGCGTCCATACTGCCCATCTTATTCCTTGTTTGGCGCTTCACGGGGTGCATCTTAGAGAGAGGAGGGGGGGAGAGGAAGGGGGCAAAGATATTCATAGGCGGCCCCCTCTGGCCGCCTTCTCTTCCCCTCCGTGAGGCCGCGGTGCTTGCCCCCTCACCATTTTCCAGGCGCTTGGCGGCGCTTTAGCGGGGGCGCTCGGCCCGCGGCGGCGGCGCATTGTGTGGTGTCGCGGATCGTTTCGGCAGAGCGCTCTAATGTACGCGACGGGGGCGGCGCTCCCGCTGCCAAAATGCCATCTGCTTTACGGCCACCCTTTAGGAAAGACGTAGATAAAACAGTCTTTGCCTCCACCACCGCCGCCTTTGCGTGCCGTTTTTATATAAAAAGCATGTCAGCTCCTTTCGTTAATGGGGAGGCAGTTTGCAAATAAAAGTACAGTGACACTCTATTACTTTGAAGTGCTCGACGACAGAAAACTTGTGTGCGACCCATCGCAATCTACAGCACAACTTTCTTTACCTAAGCGACTTTCGTCGTTTCCTTTGTTTTTAGAGCGTTGTATTTAGTAAACTATTGTAAACAACAGGCATACACTGTTTTGTCCAGAAACCAATTTCGACGAGTCATCACAAAATCACTTCGTTTTCCCAACACCTTCATTGTTCCAGTGTTACGGCTGTGTCTCGACGCGTGTGCTTCGAGGAGTGCAGCTCGGTGATCTCCCTTGTGCTGTGCGAGTCACCCAGTTGTTGTGTGGCGCCCTCCTCCTCGCCTATACCGCACTCGGGCGGCGAGGTGTGGGGCGGGAGTGCCTCCGAGTAGTTGAAGAGGCCAAATGTTTTGGTCCTCGCCCCGGGCGCGCGCGCGCGCGCGCACGTCCTTGAGAGCGGCAATGTTCTGCCCCTCCACCCCTC